CAGCGACCAGTACGCCGTGATGATGGCGTTCACCTGCGGGTCTTTGCCGTATCCTTTTTCCAGTGCAGCACGGCCCGCTGTGTTGTCCATGAGCATCGTGAGAAACTGAGGAAGGTGGCTCTGCATTGCCGTGACGGCGATGACCGCCGCCAGTATTTCCATCATATAGATGAAAGCCTTCCTGGTGGTGAACTGTTGGACGAATCAGTCCGGGATTCTGCCATGTGCAAAGTAGGTGGACTTGCCAGTCCTGACAACGAAGCCCCATCCATTGTCCTGTGGTTTCCTTTTGCCTGGGTGCCACAAATCAGGGGCCTGTCCTGCCATCAGCATCTTTTCGCCCAGAGTGAAATAGGCGTCAGAGTAAATCACCGCGCCTGGCGCTGGGGAAGCCGAAGGCGACGGCAGTATCCTGGGCTTTCCTGTCCTGATGATCTGCCGTATCAGGTGTATCGCCGCCTGCAGGGCGAATGTCAACTTGTTGTTGTTTTTCTCACCTAGGCCGTGGGCCCGCGCGTAGAACGGCTGTAGGGCTGCCCTGCCCAAGCCTCCGAAGAACGTGGTGGACAAGAAGGCTAATTTCCCTGCCAACCGCTGTGCCTCATCAGGAGTCAACGAGTTGTTGAGTTCCATTTCGTCCAGCATCCCAGGGAATTTTGTTGACGTTGTGGACACGCTTCAACCATCATCGCGTCATCTCGCACTGTGATGATAACTCCCAGCACCTTCTGGCGGGTCTTGGGAGGCTGTTCTTTGGACTCCTTCATACATAGTCCCAGTTCTTGGAACATGTCTCTGAATGTGGAACATGCACTCTCTGCCGTAGCTTCCAGCTCAGCGCCTGTGAAGTCGTCCACGAAGTGACCATGCGGGACGCACAGGAGTCTCCGTGCGACCGGCACCATTCCGTCGGCGAATCTGCAAAACGCCCATACTGATGCGGCGGCCCCAAAGGGAGCGGCGCGGTGGCGCCAGAGCGTGGGACCCTCCGGCGTGATGAGCAAGGTATAGCTATCCGATCCTGCTCGACCGGGACTTGTCTGTAGGCCCCTTCCAGATCCTGCAGCCAGATCATTGGGTTCCCTTGCCGCAGTTGCTGCAGCTTCTGCACTAGTCTGATGTATTGCTCGACATCGGTGTATGCCGGGGAATCCTCCGCTGCAACCGTCTCGTTGTGGCGGCTCCTCCGGAAATCTTCGCACCGGCGTATCTTCCCCGTCTGGACCACGGCGAAGCACACCGCGGCAAATGCCTGGTCAGTTGGCGCTTTGACAAGTTCCATGCCTTGGGCCGGCTTGAATTGCACCCCCTAGTCTTGAGGGGCCTGCAACGGGCCCTCAACTCTTCCTTTGGCCCGGTCGGCCAGAAGCTCCTCCAGCATGGGTCTCCAGTGCGGACTGGGCGTGGCCGAACTGAGCTTGGCCCGGACGTAGTCGCGGTTGGCCCGCTCGAACTCTTTCTGTGGCATCGGGTGGGCATACCTCCCATCGGTGCGAGGCAGCCATCCTGTGGCGGGGGCCATTGGTCCTGTCATAGGGAAGCCGCATGTCAGATCGTGCCACATCTGGGCCGATCCTTGGTGTCCTGGCCTGCGCATGAGTTCGACAAGGACGGGGACTTGGGTCACCTGTGGCCGTTGGTGGTGTACACGGTTTTTATCTCCTCCGGCAGACCAAAGAACCAGGAGTGAGTCTCATCTTCCCACTCCCTGACCAATGACCTGATCTCCTCCACTGCTGCACGCCATAAATCTGGCAGGGTCTGCCAGTGGGCAGCGTAGGCCTGGACGGTGGCCGACAAACCTGGCTCGAGCGGCCTGGCCAACATGGCGGGGTGATCCAAGCGTTGGGACATGCGCCAGTGCTCCCACATGTCGTTGCACGGTAACCTGCTGTGGCAAGGGCGCTGCCCCCGTGGGCGCAAACTGGAGAGCCAGTGCCATCACCACTATGGCCACAGACATGTGCCATGAGTTGGCGATCATACGGTGTCTAGACCGGTGGGCCACTCCCTCCAGCCGAGTCCAACCTGCCGGAAAGTTGTGTAACTGCTCTTTGATGTCTGGTGGAATCACTTCGGGCTCCCCATCTCGGTAGACCATGGCGTGCATGGTCTGCATATTGCCACGGGGCGAACTGACGTCCGTCAGTCAGCCACCTTTGCTTGGCCTCCTCCGAAGTGCGGAGCTTGTGGCGGGCCGGTGGTGGCCTCCCACTGGCGTCTGGTGCGGGGGTGGTAAAACAAGGTATTTTTCGTCTGTTCTCCACCACGTCAGCATGGAACTGGAGGCCCCCCATTTCCATGTGTCCTGGCTCTTGTCGGGGCAGCCCAAGGCGCACTTGCCTGTGGCCGTTGTATGTGTTGTGACCACTGGATCTTCTCTTCTGTGTTCAGCCACCACAGCCGTGGTCTAGACACCAGTGAGGCGTCCGCAGAGTCAAGCACAACCGGCTCTGCACCCAAACGTTGGGACATGTAAGCGCAGTCGGCTGGGTCATTCATGATGACGTTCTCCGCCACCACGATGATCTTTCTGCCCTGCAGCAACTCCTTCAAGTTGTCCAGCTTATTGGCAAACTGAACGAACTTGTTGCCCTCAGGGAGGGACGTGCCCGCCGTCCTGTCGGTCGGGGCATGGGGTGCCAGCCGTGATGACGACCGTGCACTGCTGACCTGGGTCAATGGCCGCAATTTCCGATGCCAACTGTTGATAGTTGTCGGTGAGGAAGTTGCCCCGGTGGATGATGTCCGGGTAACGGGTTGCCGCAACCTTCATGCATTCTGGGTCTGTTTCCCATGCCACCGACATCCTTGGCGTGCCCACCAGGAGCTGTAGTGCCAGTCGGGCGGAGGCCACCCCATCGCAAAAGGACAGCATGATGATGTCCTCACCTTTGTATCTGGACCTGTATTGTGCCAGCAAGGCCTTGAGGCCTGGGTCGGGTACCGTCATTGGCACTGTGACGGCCCCGTGCTGTCCCTAGCGGGCGGCCCCCGGCTCGTGGGTCGTTGTGGCTGTGACGGCGGCCCTTGATCATCCTGTGCTGCGCGCTTCTGGGTCGGCCCGGTCTTGGTGGTGGTGTCCTTGGGGAACTCTTTGGTCAGGCACTCGTTGAACAGGTCCACATCGACACATACCTCGGAGGTTGTCTCGCCGAGGGTCTTGCCGGACCTCATGCCCATGGCGATCTTCCACCCGGCCATGTCCCAGAATGCCCGGCGTTGTTCCAGTTTCTGGGGCCTCGCTCTCACCTTCTGCACGAACCAGTCACAGAAGTCATGGACATGGTCCTCCTCACCTAACTGCAGCAAGATCCATGCCCAGCGCACGGCATTGATGCCGTCCAGGACTGCCAGGACAGATCTCGGTGTCCACGGCTTCTCATCGTCCTCCTGAACGAGGCTTTGGTCTGTTTCTGCAGAGGGTTCACTTCGCCTGCTGCTGTGAAGGACCGCTTCTGAAGGATCTCACCAAGACCCGTGGGGGTGTAGGACTTCGTCACTGTGTGCTCATGCCACATCCGGCCAATGGACCTGTTCTGCTCCGAGAACCTCTTTCTCGGGGAAGCGGCGAGGTCTGCCGTCCACAGTGATGGCATTGTACCTGGCCACCTGGCGCTGCCATATGTGCGCCGGCAGCTGCTTGGGCGCCTTGTCCGCTGTCGACGTGGCTCCAGTGGCAGGCGCCGTGGGGGCTCCTTGTGCTGGGGCCGTGGGGGCTCCTTGTGCCGCCCCCGCCTGTTGTCTCTGTTGCCACTGCATCTGTGCCTCGCGCCACATGTGCTCCATGACCGCCTGGGCTATGGGTTTTTCCTCCTCCTCGCAACGATTGCGGTGGTCCCTTTTCTGTAGCCGTCCACCAGCGGCTGGACTCTCGAGGCGGCCATGAGCGCCAAGGTGGGGACTGTCTTGATTCCCCTGGCAGCGAAGTACTCCATGATGGCTGGGCCCGCTCCCGCTGCCAGCCTTAGATCCTCCAGGGCCATGGCTGTGCCGCCGCCCGTCACCGTCATGCTCAGATCCAGCCCCGATGTGCACGATGTGTGACCTACTCACCGGTGTACCAGCACCCTTGCCGGTTCTGACATGACCTGGCGCAAGGAAGCGACCTGTGCCCGTAGGTCCTGTATTTCGTTAGCCTGCGATGCGGAGGCCTGCTCCCCCGGCAGTTCACTATCCGTCCCTATCTCGGGTGGCTCGACCACGGTAGTGCTCGCGGCCGGAAAAGCGCCACCAGTCGTGCAGGGCTGTAGGTCTTCTTGCCTGAGCACCGCTGAACTGCGGTGAGCTTGGTTGAGGAGCCGGGTGGTGTCGTCACCTAACCGCAAAGGGGCGGTCTGAATGTACCGCTCGACGGCGGCTGAACTCCACCTGCCCAGGAGCTGGATTTGGCCCACGGGCAAGCCCAGCTTTGCCAGCCACTGTGCGCCATCCGCCCCGGGACGGTCCACCAGTGCGGCCGTGCGAAACCCTTGGATCATCAAGTGTTTCGGGGTGATGGATCCATCCTCCATGGGGACTAGAGGGAAATTGGCCTGCTCACGGAAGGCTCTGTGTAACCTGATGCGGCGCAAGTGCCTCTGTGCCGCGCATATCCAGGCCTGCTCCTAAAACTGCGGGTGACTCCGCCCTCCATCGGGCCAGGGGAGTTGTCAAGGTCTCCAGTTCCGCCCGCATAGAGTCAAACTCACTCCTCAGAACTTCTGCCGGCGCGGCTACCGGCTGGGCTACCGGCTGATCCAGATAGGCATTATCTGGAATGCACATTGCGCCAAGCGCCATCACTGCTAGGCGGTCTAGCACCCGGGCAAACAAGTTAAGTGGGGGGCCAGCTGCATAGTGGGAGTGGTCTCCCAACAGGTCCACTTGAACAGCGCCGATGCCAGGTTCACCAAGGTGTATAGCACGATGGGACTGTCCGCGTGAGAGGGCATCGTGAGGTTGCGCGCCCTCTGCGAATCAGTGCCCAGTCGTACTAACCACTGGGCAGTGGTCGCCATGGCCCGGGAACCTCGCGTCCGGGGGGCCACTGCCTTGGTTTCACTTGAACCACCGAGACTGCAGTACGCAGCCTCTCCCCTCATGTCCCTACGCATCATGATGCTGCAAGATAAGAGAGATAAGATAGATAAGATGGATAGATGGATAGATGGATAGATGGGTGGATGGATAGATAAGAAAGATAAGAAAGATACGATAGATAAGGTAGATAAGATAGAACAGAAAGAAAGATAGAATAGATAGATTAGATGGATAAGAAAGATAAGATAGATAGATAGAACGATATAAAGATAGAAAGATAGATAGAAAGATAGATAGACAGATAAGATAAGATAAGATAGATAGATAGATAAGGTAAGAAGAAATGAGGTAAGATAAAATAAGATAAAGATTGGATTGGATTGGGCTAGATTAGATTAGATTAGATTATTAGATAGAAAGGATGGATAGACAGGATGGATAGATAGGATGGATGGATAGAAGATAGACAAACAAACAGATAGACATACCATTTGGGCCCACTATTGACCTTACCCAAATCATGCTTCTTGAGACAGGCTATAGCAGGCTCCAATGCTCATGGCTTGATTTCGCTCCAATAAACCAAGGCGCCCTGATTGGTCCACGTCAAGCCTTTGGAAGAGCTCCTCGGCGTACGGGTCTTTTGGATTCTTGTGGTCAGCCAATGACAGGTAACCTTTTTGGCCAAGAAAAGCCAAAAAGGATTCAACATGCGGGTCATGATCCTGGCTTGTTTGTAATGCTTCAGCACCTGCTAATTAGTTTGCATCCCCCATTTGGTCCGTGTTTTTTTTGGTTTTGGATGGTTTTGGGCTTTACTCTTTGCCTTGACATCACCTAGAGACCTAGAAATGAGAGAAAAGGACACCTCATTGCCAGAGCAAGTCAGCTCAAGGCTGAGACAACATTCTGAATTATATTCTCTGGGCAGTCATGATGCGGGCCTCAAATACTTCAGGTGGCAACCAATAGAAACATCAACCTGTCTTAGCCCTCAAAATGAGAGTTCATCGCTCTAGATAGCCAGGAACCTACTACTCGACGTTTACAGACAATGTATATAATATGGTGCCACCATGGATGTTGGACATTGGTCGGGTTTATAGGGTGCTGCCAAGTCTCCAAAACGTATTGGTACCCGTACCTGCGGCACTATGGACACAACGAAACAAACTACTGAATGATACTGATGACTGATGAATTTTTCATAATTTAAGAATGATCAAGCAAAGCTGCTTTCACTTTTATGTCCTTTTGCCCACCCATATGCTGTCAAAATCGGCACGAAAGAAGGCAGGCTGCGATTTTCAAGAGATCGCACCTCTCTTTGGATGCGAGAATGTCATTCATAAGTGCTACCTCAGTGGCATCATGCTTTATCGTCTTGATCTTTCTCAGTGCGAACCTGGCAACCTCAGCTTCAGAAAAGGCACGTAGGGAAAATCTCTACCGCAAGACTCCAAGCAGCGCTGCGCAACTTTGGCGGGGACCTTGATTTCTCAGAATTGAAGCAAATTCAAACAGCAAAAAGATATACACTGATCATTTCCAATCAACTATGCTTGGACGTTTGGCTCCAAAACCTAAATACCCCTGGAAACAGAACTGTTCAAACCAGCCTTTCTATTTTGCAGTCTCAGTGAGTGCTGTTTGTTGGCTGAAAGAAAATGAAGATCCCTTGGGTGCTCTGGCGTGGTACCACATTCTTGACACTTGCTCGCTGTCTTTCCAGGACCACTTGCGTCTGAAACTTTGGAGGTGTCAACAACATGTTCTGACTTTGGCTTCCCTTCGTAAGGCTGCCGCTGCATGTCGCAGGAGTAGTTCATATGCCACACCATCTTCAACCATTCCTTGCCTCAAAAGACGACACGGCTTTTTGCAAACAACTAACCGCAGGGTCAACTCTGTTAGGAGATGAATGCTTCCCAGCTGCTTCCGGCCTTGCAAAGCAAACAGAAAACACCCAATGAACACACCTCTTCATACTGAGCTCAAAAGTGAGCAAACCATGAAAACATATGAAAACATATGGCGCATCGTTTTCAGATGTTTGCAACTCATCTTACTTGCTGACTTGAACGCAGTGTAAAGAACCTTGCTGCTTGACAATCTTTGCCAACTTGGCCGAGGCTCGATCAAACTGCTGAAATTGCGCCATCAGCTGCCGCAAGGCATTCAGCGTGTTGGCCTTTCGCAAGTTTCGCACTGAGCAGTGAATTTCAATTCTGATGTCCTTCCCAAGCTTGACGCAGGTTGAGACCCAAGGAGCAGAGGTTGCCATTTCATCACTGTATACAAATGCAACTCAAAAAATACAACTAGACGACGGATGGCCAGAGAGCGTAGAGGAGCAGAGTCTTCTGTTGTTAGTATGGAGACACTATATTACAAGATAATATATTAAAGATGTATTCTAGGCAGACGAGAAGAGTAGTATCAAGACAATAAATGACTAGTACAAGACAATAGTTTGCATCGTATTTTTGTAGAGTTTTTCATACACAGAACTTTTTACAGACAGACGCTTTTGCACACAGAAGCTTTTACACACAGACGCTTTTACACACAAACGCTTTTACACACAGACGCTTTTGCACACAGAGACTTTTACACACAGACGATTTTACACACAGGCGCTTTTACACACAGACGCTTTTACACACAGACGCTTTTACACACAGACGCTTTTACACACAGAGACTTTTACACACAGAGGCTTTTACCCGCAGACGATTTTACACACAAACACTTTTACACACAGAGACTTTTACACACAGAGATTTTTACACACAGACGCTCTTACACAGACGATTTTACACACAAACACTTTTACACAGAGAGACTTTTACACTCAGACGCTTTTACACACAGACGCTTTTACACACAGAGACTTTTACACAAAGTGGCTTTTACACACAGACGCTTTTTACACACGGACGCTTTTACACACAGAGGCTTTTACACACAGAAGCTTTTTACACACAGACGCTTTTACCCGCAGACGATTTTACACACAAACACTTTTACACACAGAGACTTTTGCACACAGAGATTTTTACACACAGAGGCTTTTACACACAGAAGCTTTTTACACACAGACGCTTTTACACACAGACGCTTTTGCACACAGACGCTTTTGCACACAGAGTCTTTTACACACAGACGCTTTTACACACAGAAGCTTTTACACACAGAAGCTTGTACACACAAATTCTTTTACATACAAACACTTTTACACACAGAAGCTTTTACACACAGACGCTTTTACACACAGACGCTTTTACACACAGATGTTTTTACACACAAACGCTTTTACACACAGACGCTTTTACACACAGACGCTTTTACACGCAGACGCTTTTACACACAGACGCTTTTACACACAGACGCTTTTACACACAGAGGCTTTTACACACAGACGCTCCGCACAAGTAAAATCGCAATTTTACTTCAGTTTTTGCGCATCGACCCTCATTTCGTGCGAAAGGGTTGCTCGGGGACAAGTAAAATCGCAATTTTTCGTCAGTTTTTGGCGATCGACCTTCATTTCGTGCGAAAGGGTTGCTCCGGCACAAGTAAAATCGCAATTTTTCCTCAGTTTTTGGCGATCGGCTCTCATTTCGTGCGAAAGGGTTGCCCCAGGACAAGCAAAATCGCAATTTTTCCTCAGTTTTTGGCGATCGACCTTCATTTCGTGCGAAAGGGTTTAAAATCGCAATTTTTCGTCAGTTTTTGGCGATCGACCCTCATTTCGTGCGAAAGGGTTGCTCGGGGACAAGTAAAATCGCAATTTTTCCTCAGTTTTTGACGATCGACCCTCATTTCGTGCGAAAGGGTTGCTCCGGCACAAGTAAAATCACAATTTTTCCTCAGTTTTTGACGATCGACCCTCATTTCGTGCGAAAGGGTTGCTCCGGCACAAGTAAAATCGCAATTTTTCCTCCGTTTTTGACGATCGACCCTCATTTCGTGCGAAAGGGTTGACGTTTCGTGACTCTCCGCCGGCACCACCCTCGGCCTAAAGAGAGAAAGATAAAGAAGGCGAGAGAGAGAAAAGGGAGAGAGAAAAGGAGAGAGAGAAAGGAGAGAGGAAAGAGGAGAGAGAGAGAGAGAGAGGATGTGAAGATGAGAAGGTGTGAGAGAAGGTGTGAAGATGAGAAGATGTGAAGAGGAGCAGATGTGAAGATGAGAAGATGTGAAGATGAGAAGATGTGAAGATGAGAAGGTGTGAGAGAAGGTGTGAAGATGAGAAGGTGTGAAGATGAGAAGATGAGATACAGACACCCACTATTGGAAGAACCCTGCGCTCAGACGCTCTCGGGAAAAAATACGGTAGATGGGAAAGCAGCTCCTTACTTCCAGTGGGAACAGTCAGAGGACATGATGCACAGCAACGCCTTTATTAATCGTCAATAAACAAATGTATATGTAATATATAATATTATATAATAGAGCAAGCAGCTTCCACCGAGCCTCTCCCAATCGGATTGCCAATTCCTCTGTCACTTGATGTCCAGCAGCACAGCCTACAAGCCCCTGCCTGAGTGCATGAAAGCGAACCAACACATACAACAAAAAATGTATAAATACCTTCTGGCAACAATCAAACATGGCAATGGAAAACCTTTGTTTTTTTTGGGGTTTCCGGGGACAATCAGGAGATCATCGGAAAATGGATGTCATTGGATGTTTCTACGTTTGATTTTCCATTGCCAGGTTTGCCAGGTTGATTGGCAGAATGGACCCTGCACCGATCTTCACCCACCAATCATTGGAATTGTGCGCCAGGCCACAAGGTGCTCGCTGGCAGATCAGCATCGGTTGTGCCGTGGAACCACTCATGGTTTGCTGCTTGCAAAGCCCTTGGCCTAGACGCTGAGCACCTACTTGTTCACTGCATTACAGGCACAATCTATTGCAAACTGAAATTGCTCAAAATACATCCATGATACAGGGATCCTTTGCTTTGACACAG